GGCACCTGGGTGGTTCAGTCTGCTAAGCATCTGACTCTTGATCACAGGATTTTGAGTTTAAGCCCTGCACTAGGCTCCACGCTGGGCATGGAACCTACTGAAACAAACAAACAAGCAAACAAAACACATGCTAGAGTATCAGATCATATGTGTTAAATTTTAGTCTGTAAAATGATCACCAAAAGCTGTTTACCAAAAAGCAATTCACACCAAAACCAAATGTTCCCTTTTCTTTCTCACTTCTATTTTACTTTGCAGATTCCAAATAAGCAATATACTTAAAAAAAAAAAGCTTTACAGAAATAAATTAAATTTAAATTAAATTAAAAGCATGTGTTTTTTGCAACTGAGTATCTTCATATTTACCAAATATCACTTGTGACTGGAAAAAGATATAGAAAGGCATACAACTGAGAATGTTCCTGACAAAAAGACCAACAGTTTCAGGAAGATAGCAGATAGCTCCCAGTTTGTTAATTAATCACAAAATACTGTAGACTGCCAGTCAAATTCCACAGATAATATTTAAAGCAAGTTTAGTGAAAAAACACTCTTCTTTGTTAGCACATTTCTAGAAATCATGGCATAATACCAATAATTATAAAGATTCCCTACTTTTTGGCCACGAACTGTGCCTCAAAAAAGTCATGATTACAACTAATAATTTATTCTATCCTCAAAGACTCCTTTTCACTTGTAATACTCATGATGATAAACTTCTTAGAACAGAAGACAAGACAGGATTTATGAAGAACTAAGACGTTTTCCAAAATCTACAACACTGTGAATGCATGACATGCTATCTGTACAGTATTTCTTGAGAAGGAGAAAAATTACTTAAAATCAGTTTCTCAGCAAGAAATTCAATAATCCAGACTTTGGATTCAGATAGCCAATTAACTAGATATCTTACTTTTTTATATTACCTTTGACCAGCATAAGGTTAAAATTTGAAATTGCCAGTAATACTTGATTTCTATAATACAACCCATCCTTAATAATTATAACACAAACACTGATTTTTTTCCTCCTTGAAAATAAGTCTTTGTGGATATTTCTAGCACAAAATAATAACCCTATCCCTACAAAATTACTTCTTGGCTTGAAGGTTATAGTCATACACTGTTAAATTCTAATTTTGATCTAAATGCACATTTTTTCATTTCAACAATAAGACTTTTGTTAACCAACACTATTGACTGCAGTGAAGGAACACCCTTAACTTAAGAATATTAGTTGGCCCTTGACCCCTGACTAACTCTACATAAAATCACCAAAAAGCAGACAAATTTAATGACCACTTTCACTGTTCTTCATATCACCATTATTAAATATTTTGATTCTTAATTAAAAAACGAGTTTTTAACTGTTTGCTAACCCATCACTTACATTATCATTTTCCACTAAATTTATTTCTAGACTGCACAGTAACATTTCTACCCTAGGTGGGACCTATTATAATTAATTGAATGGTTTTTATTTTTAGCATGCTGAATAACTATTAAACCTGCAGCTACATTATTGCTCCACTAGATGGGGCACAGGTAATGTGAAATTCACTGTTAGGAAAAATGCAGCTTCAAGGCACCCCTAGCCATACCTAGCTTCCTCCCCAATCAGGAAGACTTAAATAATAAGATATCTTTGGATGGGTAGGTCACATACCTAGAGGCATTAACTCCTGGAAACTATAATTAAAGCAGATAACCACAATATGAAATACTGATTACCCACACAGTTACATTTGCCTGCTCAGAAATCCCTAAGAAAACTGAATGAATGAATGGGGGGAAACTAATGTGAAGTGAACTGGAGGTGCTGATTAAGCAACCTGGAAGAGAAAAATAATGAATTACAAAGTAGTGAGAAGTAGGGAAAGCCTATATAGACACTTTATTCTGAAGTTAACTGCCTCTGTCTCATTATTTAACATGGTAACATATTTTCAGAAATTTTAAGAAAATGATTTAAAAGTATATTTGATTCAAATACACAAAGAAAATGCTTCCTCATAGAGAAGTCTGTGTGTGTAACAATACAGTATACCTTCTAACCCAGTTTGCTAAGTCAGTATAATAATTTTTCTTAATATGCCTTTTGAAGTCCATTAAATATCTGTCTGAAAACATACCTTGCAAAGTTCTTTATCTTGTTATTTCCTAAAGCGAAAATTTCTAAATTTTGTTATGGACTATGCTTGTACCCCCTTCCACACTTTCTCCTATTTATGTATTAAAACCTTACCCCCAGTGTGATAGTATTAGGAGGTAGGGTCTCTGGGGGTAGTTAGGGTTAGATGAGATCATGAGAGTGAAACCTGCTCTCAGTCTTGTGAGGATACAATGTGGAGGCCATGTGCAACCCAGAAGATAGTTATCAGAACCCAACTAAGCTGCCACCCTGATCTTAGACTTTCAGTCTCCACAACTGTGAGAGGAACAAATTTCTGTTGTTTGTAAGCCACCAGTGTATGGTACTTTGTTGTAGTGGCCTCAGCTAAGAAAACAACTAACAAACATAAAAGAATAAATATGAAAAAATACTTTAATGAATACAAGAAAAAGATTTTATTTCTAATCTCAACTCTATCAATGAATTATTCATTCAAATTGCTGATTTCATTAGACCTTTCATGTAATATTTACTAAATATCAATACATGTTGTTTTTTTCTTCCCTTTAGGACTTTATATTTTTAGGGATAAACAACTGAGAGCCACATACATGGGCCTCTCAATTTTTTTCTCCACTTTTACCAATTAGCTTATTTGGGGGGAAAAAAAGCCCAAATGTTTAAAATCTGCAAAGGAGAGCAAAAGACTGCTTTTAAAAAAAAACAGACACGATTATTTTACTCTCATCATGTCTGATACTCATGGTACTAGAAATTAAAAAAATAAGGAAAAAAGTCCCTTCATTTTATGATTCTTAACTATCCTGCTTTTCTTTAGTCTCTAGTTAAGCAAATCCCTGCTTAATAAATTATCTTGGAATCTAGCTATCATTTATATTAGATTTCCCTTTAAAAATAAACTGACATATGATGACGTCTTTAAAGTGTATTTAAAACACTGAAAATTCAAAAGAAATACTGAAAAAAAAGAAAATTCAAAAGAAATAATGTTAAATAATATAAACATATATTATATACATATTATAAAACATGTTAAATAAAAAATGATTTATAAAACAGTATATCTACTATGATTCCAAGTTTATTTTTTTTATTTTTTTTTTTTAAGATTTCATTTATTTATTTGAGAGAGAGAAAGAGAGACCATGAGAGGGGAGAGGTCAGAGGGAGAAGCAGACTCCCCGCCGAGCAGGAAGCCTGATGTGGGACTCGATCCTGGGACTCCAAAATCATGACCCGAGCCGAAGGCAGCCGCTCAACCAACTGAGCCACCCAAGTACCCCCCAAGTTTAATTTTTAAAATATGAAAAGAATGGAAAGATATACATAAAAATGTTGGCAGCCACTTTCTGTTTATAATTTTTCCCATTTTTTTTGTTTTTTTCTTTGAATTTTCAACAAAGAATTTGCACTACTTTCATTTAATCAGGAAAAATATTTATATTAACATCATTGTTTAAGTTATAAAATAGCCTGTTACAAAGATATTTTTATAAATGCATATTACAAATTATTGAAATGTATCAATATGATTTCTAAGAAAATGAAGTCTGATTATTTCAACTTTCTCAAAAGGTACAGAAGTCCTTTCCTTGTATAAGCTCTCACTCTACTGGTGACATAGAGAATATACTTATTCTGACATTTCTGAGTACAGTTATTGCATTATTTTCTACAAGCACTAGAGGGCAGGATTTTCACTATAAAACTCAGTTTCATCAATTAACTCTATATTATATCTGCCTTTGTTGTCTGGTTTCTGTTAATATGCCATCATCTATCACTATATTTATTATATGCCTTTTTTGGACTGTGTCTGTATCAACATATGGTAATTTTAAATGACAGTTTCACTTATGGCCTTGAGTATTTAATAGTTGATTTATAATATATAAAATTAAATTACCAATTTACAAATTGAAAGAAATTCAAATATATATATATGTGAACATAATGTACACATTTTAAAACTGTGGCTCTAGGGCTGTATTAAGAAATATGCAATCTGAGTCTCGAATCTGACACTACCTCCTATTAAAATTGAATGAGTAAGAGCAGCTGGCTGGCTTAGTCAGTGAAGCATGAGACTCTTGATCTCAGGGTTGTGAGTTCTACCCCTATATCTGGTGTATAGATTACTTAAAAAAGTAAAATCTTAAAAAAAAAATTGAATGACTAATAACACACTGAAAACAGAGGTCTATCAATACTGGTTCTAGTTTAATACAAAATGCAAAGATAGGGCACCTGGATGGCTCAGTCGGTTAAGCATCTACTTTTGGCTCAGTTCATGATCCTGGGGGGCTTGGGAATGGAATACCACACTGGTCTCCCTGCTCAGTCGGGAGTCTGCTTCTCCCTCTCCCTTTGCCCCTCTCCCGCTTGTACTAGCCCTTTCTCTTAAACTCTCTCTCAAACAAATAAAATCTTTTTAAAAATGCAAAGACAATTTTTTAAAAGGATTTACTCATTTATTTTGAGAGAGAGAGCATGTGTGTACACGCACGAATGAGGAGGAGGAAGGGCAGACGGAGAGGGAAAGATTCTGCAGCAGACTCCCTGCTCAGCACAGAGCCCCACATTGGGCTCTGGGGCTGGATCCTATGATCCTGAGATCATGACCTGAACCAAAAACCAAGAGTCAGATGCTCAACCAACTGAGACACCCCAGGTACCTTGAAATGCAAAGATGATTTTTAAGAAATTAGTTAAATACCCACAGAATTCCAGTTTTTAAATAGAATACTGAAATGCTTTTTTCTCTAACTCCAAAAGCTTCTAATATCTTTAAGGCTTTTGAATTCTGGTGGGGGTAGAAGAGAATCTGCAAGGGAAAATGATATTCCAGGAAGAGAAAACAGCAAGAGTAAAGTCATGGCATCTCAGAAGTACAGTTTATTCAAGGGATGCCAGGGTAATATGATTATGTGGATACCGAACAGGGTGCACTGGAGAAATAGCTAAAGATAAAGCTGGAAAAGTATGGTAGGATCACTTGGGGAAGGACTGTTCTGCTGTACTTGGAAGTTGACATCAGTTTGAAGGCAGTGAGAAAACCACTGAAGGCTTTTAAACAAGGAAGAGTGTGACTAAGATCTGCTTTTACAGAGGTAACAATATACAGGATGAATTTGAAAAGTGAAAGCTTGGAGTAGGGGAGATGACGGATTGAACGTCACTGGCTAAGGCCTTAAAAAGGGCAAAAACACTGAGGGTACAAAGACAAAGTATTCCAATAACATTCCAAAAGGCAAAGGATATCCATTTGGCAAAGGATAAATGCAGTGAAAAAGCATTTCAAGCCTTGATAAGTGAATGGAGACTGATGTCTTAAAGACAGGCTGGGGTCTTAATAATTTTAAGTGCAGGGTGCGTTCTGATATTCAGGCTGCAAGATCTATTAAATAGCTAGGAATCAGGAGAGAAGTGAGCTATAAAGAAATAAAAGGAAAAAAATATGTAGATTATGATTTTTGGTCGCCTATGAAAGGAGCCTAATTATATTATCAACATTAGATGCACATCCCTTGTTACCAAGTAATTAATATCATCGAGCAGCAGGAGTATAAATTTGAATTGAACAGAATATTGCATAGCAAAATAAACTTAGCAACTGAATGGTACTCATGTAAACTCTGGGATGGTATTGAGCTGTTGGGTATAACTTAATCAATTTAGATTATTAATTACTCATCAATGACTTCTAACACATATACAAAATTTATTGCCAAGGGTATGATTTATGTTTCATATACAGTACAGAGATTTGTTAAGATGTTTAAAATATATACACATATTACAACTGAAGTGAAGCCAGAAGTTTTAAAGATCTATTTATAAGATAGAAAAATATGAGTTTACTTATAATAAGAGCTGGTAATACAATGATTATTAATAAGTATTGTTAGTAGTAAACTTCATATTTACAGAGTCCCTCAAATAGATTTTATTTGATCTCTACAAGCTGTCCATGAAGTAAGCTGAAGCTGGTAGTAATAACAGCAATAATAACAACAATACTCTGGTAATATACATATCTTAAACTAAAATTTATTTCCTACTCTTCACCTTTTCCCCAACCCCTCAGTTTATAGAATTCTCTTATTTGGAAATTTACAGTATTTAAAACCTGAGCTTTCCTGACATAAATAAACTAGATTAGAACACTGCCTACTCAATTTTCTGAAAGTCTTTGAAATACAGAAAATACAGATCAAAGAAATTTATTGTTGTTCCACAATGAAATGCATCTAATTTGATCTAGAGATATAAACTGGGTGTCATAAATGCTTGCTAATTATTAAACAAAACTGAAATCTAAGGAAAAGTCTAATCCAATTATTAAACTGATATTAATCTGACCATTTATACATGCATTTAGTAAGACATTCACATTGCTGGTATAAATTTAGCCTTCATAAACTGTTTAAATGAAATTCCATCCCAAAAGGATAAATAGCAATCAAAGTTCCTTACTTTTTTAGATCATTTCTTGAATTTCATTTTTTAAACAACCATTACATTATCTAGGTAAGGAGTTTAAAATATTCTCCAGTTATCTAAAGGCTGAGCCCAACTGAAAACCTTAAGTCATTTATATTTTATAGAGGCAGGGACCTCAACATGTTATCTTACATAAAGCAGCCTCTTGCTCTTATCTGCTTTAGCATTTCAACAGAATTGAAATGAGTTAAAAAGAAGAAACAGGAATACTTACTTGAACTTGGCTGGTGAAAGAGGAGTAGGAGGAAACATTCCTGGTTCAAAAGAATCAAAATAAGTCACTGTCCAAGAAAAGCTACAGCAGGAGAATCCAGCAGAGAGAGATATTATAAGTAGAGTCCAGAATCCTTAATGGGAAGAGAGGAGAAAAACTTAATTATTAACACCAAAGCAATTTAAAGTAAACCAGTATCTTCATGTTCAAAAGATTATGTGTATTTTTTAACTTCTGAACTTCCTGTAGGTAACATGTAAGAGATTTGAGCTTAGTACAAGCAAACTCATGCAAAAGCATAAAATAATAAATTAGAAGTCATATCATTTAGGGGCGCCTGGGTGGCACAGTGGGTTAAGCGTCTGCCTTCAGCTCAGGTCACGATCCCAGAGTCCTGAGATTGAGCCCCACCACTGGGTCTCCCAGTCAGCAGGCAGGGAGTCTGCCTCTCCCTCTCCATCTCCCCTCTCCCCAGCTCATGCTCTCGGCTCACTCTCTTTTCAAATAAATAAAATCTTTTAATAAAAGAAAAAAATAAGTCATATCATTTAACATTTTATCATTTCAACTATAAGTTAATAACATAAAATAATTAAAAATAAATAACATTTTAATAGTTTAATATTTCTATTATTTAACATGGGGAAAAGAGTACAAATTCAACTTAAGAATATAACTTATCTTCAGCTTTATAAAATTCAACTATAGGAAAAATGGTCAAAATACTTCACTGTTAAAATGTTTAGACATTTTTCATTTACTTTGTGAATCATAGCTTGCTATCTTTTATTACCTAGTATTACGTGATTCCTTTCTTTCCATATCATGCACTTTTGACATAAGAATTAATTTTATGGTATCTACTCTTTACAGCTTTCCTATAAACATTATAAACCTCATTGGATTCTTTTTTCCTCAGTGTATGAACAAAGGTTAACTCCCAATTTAAAATGGGTTAGGACCCTAGGTTCTAGTTTCAAAGTGGAACACTGCAAGATTTTCTCAAAGAACTCTAAAGTCAAAAGCATGGTATTATATTGGATGCATGGAAGGGGTAAAAGAGAAATGGAAGAATAAGGGAAATGAACAAAGTGAGAATAGAGGGAATAAATTAGACAGTTTTTAAGATTTACTTATTTATTTGAGAGAGAGAGAGAGAGAGAGTGAGAGAGGGAACACAAGCAGGGGAGTGGGAGAGGGAGAAGCAGCCTTCCCACCAAGCAGGGAGCCCCATGCAAGGCTCATGACCTGAGCTGAAGGCAAACACTTAATAACTGAGCCACCCAGTTGCCCCAATTTGACAGTTTTTAGATACATATTCAAACTGCCTCTTTAAGAGAGTTTACTATGCCAAGACCACTGATGACTGCGTGTCAGAGGCCTCAGTAGTACCGGGAGGGAGGAAAGGTTGAGAAGACTACAGTTGAGAATGACTTATGAAATACCAAATTTCCTAGCTGCACAAAATGTGCAACCAAGATGTCTTTTAGCAAGTAGGTAAGAAATATGTGCATCTGTCTGTTTATAAACCATACAAAGCCCAGTAATAGTCTTATAAAACAGCTAAGAGACAAACTCACAGCAATGAAGTATTATGAAATACTGTGGCAATCTATTTTTTGAAAGATTAACCTTAATTTTTTCTCACTAGTTCCCTTTCCTTTACCCTTTCAAAGAGATAACAAACTGTACACTCATGGCCCCAGAAGGATGTGAGAAAGAGAAACAGCCACAAGGTCTCTTTGGTTTTGATGTTGCAAAATGATTAAGCAACCTAGGATAGATATAAGCAAGAGGATAGATCAACACAAAATATCTTGAATACACAGTAAAGATAATGAGTTGATTGGGATACAAATAAAATGTCTGTGTAGAACAGGGAGAAAGAAAGACAGGGTTTAATGCACAGGTGAGAAAGATTTCTCCTTGTTTGAAGAAAGTGGTATGTCTGCTCTTGTGTGTATGTATGGAGAAGAGGGGTAGTACTGCTGGGTCTTCCTGGCAGAGCCATGGAGAGGCCACACAACAGTCCAGAGGGATTACAGGATCTTCGAGATGGGCCCAGAGCCAAGTCTACAGATGTCCCTCCCCTAAGTGGGGCACAGAAAGAGCAGATGGTGATGTGGCTGTAAAAATGCGACATCTGACAGGCCATCCTTACCAGAAAGCAAGATGTTTCAGCAGTAACTAACTCATTTGAGCAAATGTTTTGAGGAGTAGGTTGCACCCCACCCCAATGTCCCGGCATAGTGTCACACTTCAGAACCTTAACCCAATCTGAGACTAGGCAGACAGAATCTCAGCAGAGACTGAGGTACAACCTTTCTGCCAACACAGTGCGATACGGGACCAAAATAAAAATTGTAAGTGTACTTAATGTACAGCTACAACTTAAGGAATGGTTATTCTGCCAAATAGCTATTACTTGTTATTATTTAGATGAATACTGCTAAAGGCGAGAAAATAATTGACAAGTTTACACTGTTTAATATTATATAATACAAGTCTGCAGAACAAAGATAGTAATTATGAAAAATCAAATATCTGGGGACTGTTGTGGAATGATGGAAACTTCTAAATATCTAAAAAAAGGTGAGAAAGACATAAAATAACAGATTAAAAATTTACAAAGTATGAGGCTCTCTAGAGTCCATTAAGCTTTTTCATTCAGGTTCTTTAACAGAACACCTGTCAAAATTGATACAAGAATATCCTTGAGTTTTCAAAACTGAGCACTATTCCCCAATCTAAGTGTTTGCCTCATTTTGGGCTTTCTTATTTTATATTCACTTTGAACTAATCAAAAGTTACACCACTGATAAAAGTAGATTCACAGTGAAAGGTCTACAAAAGTACACAGTAATATCATAGTCTAAAAGTGCTTATGCTTCAGAAAGTGACTCAATTTGTTTGTGAACAAGCAGAAAAGCCATACAAGTTGGCAACTAGCAACAACTGAATCTTAACAAGTCCCCTCCTCCAGAATCCTGAAGTCAAAAACTTGACAACTAATGCTACGTAACTCCATTTTACCAAGAGTTAACATAATTTGTAAACAGTACAAAAGCATATAAAAGTTAAAGTCTTCCTACCTCAATTAACCAATTCCACTCCTAAAAGCAATCGGAATTCTCACCAGAAAAACTGTCCTGTGCTTTGCTACTCTCACATAATGATGAGACCTTTTATATCAGTACACACAGCCACAATTCTATTGCATAATTTATGATTCTACCATTTTTAAAAGATTTATTTATTCATTTGAGATAGGGAGAGTGACTAGGGAGAAAGAATTGAGATATAGAAAAGATCACTAAAATCCCATGATGTATCTTAGATTTATAAAAGGATCCAACAGACCAATATTTCAAGATTAAATAAGCTTCATTCCATCAAAAACATAACTAGTCTCTGGAAGATGCCCCAAGAAAGAATAAAAGTCACGAAACACCCATTTTACAAACAGTATTGTTCAAGAGAATTAAAAAATGGGTCCAATAGACCTTGACTTATATTGAGCATTCAAACATGTAGCCAATTAAGTGACTTCAACTTTGAGTAGGTAAGGATAGGTTTTGAGATCTTTTAATTTTGAAAAAAGAAAATCTGCAGGATTTTGTTATTGATTATGTCAGGTTTGTGAACTACTAGACCAGTGATTCTCATGAACTAAAAGCATAAGCATCACCTAGAAAATTTATTAAAAATGAAGAATTTGTGGGTTCCATACCACACCTACTGAATCAGAAACTCTAGAACAGGTGAAGTCTAGTAAGATAAGTTTTACGTCTTCCAGCTAATTCTAATGCCAGTTCAAGTTTTACTTCATTAGCCTAAGAAACATCTCCCCAGATCCCAATTTCTTGGGGATTAGAGTTCCCAATGTGGGCTTCTCATTACACTTCTATGTAGTAAGGAGACCTGCAATGATTTTTAAGACAAATAATTTGGCTGCACAATGATAATTCTTGCTAATAACCCATATTATTTCTGCCTTACTGTTGTGCAAAGCTATCTAGTGACATAAAAATTTTAACATACATTGTTGTGAATTTTGGTTCAGAAGATAATTTATATGAATGAATGCAGGAAGGCTGGCAATACTAGGTGAAGTAACACATGTAAAAAATAAAGTTTGGCATACCGTAAAGGTTAAAAGTATCATTAATTGCTGAATGTTACTTATATTTTTCTAAGCTTAAATTTGTGCTTATCTTTAAACAAAGTTTTTCTTTTTTAAAAATTAATTATTTTTATTAACATGTAATGTATTATTTGCCCCAGGGGTACAGGTCTGTGAATCACCAGGCTTACACATTTCACAGCACTCACCAGAACACATACCCTCCCCAATGTCCATGACCAAGCCACCCTATCCCTAAACCCCTCACCCCCAGCAACCCTGTTTGTTTACTGAGATGAAGAGTCTCTTATGGTTTGTCTCCCTCCAGATCCCATCTTGTTTCATTTTTCCCTCCCTACCCCCCACAACTCCCCACCTTGCCTCTCAAATTCCTCATATCAGAGATCATATAATAATAAACAAAGTTTTTCTTATTGAGAGTCATTGTCATTAATTATAGAAAATAAAAAGATCTAAAACTCAGGTAAATTATCTAAAATTTTGGTTGCATCTTTCCGGTACTTTTGGGCTTTTGTTTTTCTCCTTTTTTGCCTTAGTCGTCATTCTTCAACTAATATGAATAAGCAATACACAAAATTTTACAAACACAGCCACAGGAGAACATATTTGTGAAATTTTCAATGATTACTTCAGTTACCCCACCCAGCTGCAGAGAGCACTATATTATATCCTTAATACATACTGGCCTCAAATTACAACGCTCAATACATTCACTGAAAATAGTTTAAGTTCACAGTTTCAGTCATTTTTCACTGTAAGGAAGAAACTGAGTGGTTGTTTTCAACCTGTGCCTTTCTAAGAGAAACGCGTCATCTTCCAAGGCATCCTTTCTCTTGGAAATTTTTACCAAGATTCTAATGTTCTATCTTATGAAATCATGAGGGTAGAGTCTCACTTATCTCTTGGTAGAATAAATAACTGATAAACTCTTCAAATGAATTGTCTTCATCTTTGATTGAACTCAGTATATATCAATCATCTCTGTAAATGTTCACAAGCCTATAAACATCTCAATCATAAAGGAGAACTAAATGGGTAGCTTAAAAACAAGAATATACCTGGGTGGCTCAGTTGGTTAAGCAACTGCCTTTGGCTCAGGTCATGATCTCAGAGTCCCGGCAACGAGTCCCCCATTGGGCTCCCAGCTCCATGGGGAGTCCGCTTCTCCCTCTGACCTTCTAAGCTCTCATGCTCTCTCTCATACTCTCTCTTAAATAAAAATCTTAAAAAACAAACAAACAAACAAACAAGAATAGCCCCTGACAATGCAAAATGCTACAAATCTGGTCTTAGCCACAAGAGAGACTTAATGTTAACTATTAACTAGTAGATGTCAAGAGTGACAAGTACCAAAAATCTTTTCAGACTGAAGGAACTCCATGAAGTCAATTACAATTCCTGTATGGAATACTTAGGACATGTATATTAAAAGTACTAGTCCTACATTTAATTTAATGACAGTAGTCTTAGGTTAAGCATTTTCCGGTAATAGCATATCTTTCTGTTTTTCTTATGTGCTTATTTCAGGCTTGCCTCAAATAAAAGGTCATTTCATCATACCCTGTAGTAAGACATGAAAAAAAATGTAAAAATTGGAAATAGAATTAAGTATGTGAAAAGTTATAAAACTTGGAAAATGTGACGGATACAAAAGTTAATGTACAAAAATTAAATAATTCCTATTTTTGTTTGCTTTTTTAAAAAAAAGATTTTATTTATTTATTTGACAGAGATCACAAGTAGGCAGAGAGGCAGGAGGGTGGGGGAGGAGGGGATTAGGCTCCCTGCTGAGCAGAGAACCCAACCCCAGCCAAGGGCAGAGGCTTTAACCACCGAGCCATCCAGGTTCACCTAATTCCTGTTTTATATTAATGCAATCAATTTGGCCTGAGAATAACCTTTAGCAGGAAGGACTAAAATGTGATTTAACTAAGTAAACTTAAGTTTTATTTATCTCCCTGAAAAACAGGCTTACAGTAGGGGATGGTTTGTAGGACAATTATAAAAGGAAAGTCCTTCTAATGCCACCTAGGGATGATTAAGGGAGATGAGTTCCAAAACCAGATGACAGCATTTCTTACATCTTCCTGGCTGGTCTACCTCACCAATGAAGAGGAACATTGATAGCATAACCCTATTAACCATTAGGATCAATTAACTCCCCAAATGCACTGATACCATGCTCATCATTAATCCTTTTTTGTTTAAATTATAAACAAAAAGAAGAGTTTCCCAAGAAGACTGCTTTCAGGCAAAGATGACAAGAGAATGGCAGTGTTGCAGATCCTTTCAAAGTCAGGTTTCTTAAGAGGCATTCGGACTTATATCTTATTAGTCTGTCACTAGTCAACTTGCAAGGATTTTAACTGCCTTTAAACACTTTTTAGGTGTGATTCTACTGACTGGCTGGTTCAGTCAGTAGAATGTATGACTCTTGATCTCATGGTTGTAAGCTTGAGCCCCATGTTGGGTATAGAGATTACTTAAAAATAAAATCTTCAAAAACAAAAAAACCCCACACTTCTTTAAAAAAAAAAAAAAAAAAAAAAAGAGAGATTCTTACCCTGCAAAACGATTTCTTAAACTGTGGGGTATCAAAATCACCTATAAAAAATGAAGATTCTTGGACTCTACCCTGAGCTGAAACAAAACCTAGAGATACTTTTTAAAAGAAAGTCCAGGTGATTCTTAAGCATACTAAAATGAGAGCTGTTGCTAAAATTTGCTCTTAATGAGCTACGCCAATCTTGGACCAGGCTTAAATTGCAATAAAAAAATCTGCAGTGTGCAAAATTTTTATTACTCTTTCTAGAAAGAGAACTCTTTCAAGGGAGAGTAGCTACTATGCTTATATATTTGATTCTAAAAACCAGGTGATTCTTAAAGATTTGAGGCAATTTTCAGTAAAATTTAAATAGGAATCACAGAAATATAAAGATAACAAGTATGAACAATAACAATTACAGCAAAAAAAGGGTAATACACAAAACAAACATTATATTTACCTATGAGGTACCTAGCAAACAAGGCAAAGTAAGTGCAATGAAATACAACAAAATTAGTAGGATTTAAAAGGCTACATTCTGCTTTTCCTGTAAAGAGTGGACAAATTCAACACAGTTTTTATTAAAGATTGTTTCTTCATGTAAAAACTTTTATATCAATTGTAAACAGGTAAGGATATAATTCCACAGGCATGACTTCACAGATAAGCTAATGTAGCAATCCTGCTTCATATCTAAGCTAACTCAAGGTTGATTTGATTGCAAGTCAAAATTTGAAAAAAAAAAAAAAACTGGCCTACTTTCAACAATCAGCTGTCTCAATTAGACTTTTAACTGGAGGCTAGTAGTCAAGTCAAAACATTCTTCTGCAGAGAGGTTATACTGTATTTTCTCCCAATGGAAGAGAATTCCAGCTTGGAACAATATAAGTGTTATTTCAGTAACCTCAACTTTATAGGTGCTTAATCATCTTGGCACTGCTTCTCTGAGACAAGTTAAGAATTCTATACTCTTCCGACAGAAAAGCATTTTCTATTACACATTACAATGAATAAGAATATTTGTTATAACTATGCCCACTTTAAAGTTATCCCCAGGTAAGTGACTGAATTAGTTCACCAGATGTTGAGTATACTCTCTATCTGACCACTAAAGCATTGGTTCAAAATAAGGATTTTTGTTTTGGCATAACTATTGTTTAGTAGGGTTTTTTGGCCACAAAGATACAGTAATTTCTCCTCACTACTGAGATTGCTCCTGAATCTTGAAAGTGAATTCATGCCATGAGCAAACACTTAATGATCTTCGTATTAGCTGTCATAGTATTAGGTATCTATCAGGCACATCCAAAAGTATTATCAGACTAACTGGAAGTAGAAAAAGAAGCAGGAAAATGACAAAGCCTTATTACATTCCTTTTGATATTGAACAAGCCATTCCTTCAGATGACAAGTGCCACCCTATGTTTTTCATAAATGTGAATGAAGTTTTCTAACTTTTAAATAGCAACACAGAATTCATGCCTAGTTCTTAAGATTCTGTTCTATTCTTGTGACATCAAGTTGACAGATCAATAAATGCTATGAAAAGCCTCATAACCTTGGCTGTTTTTAGAGATGAAACAGTGTAACAACATACGCTGATAAAATGTGTAACTATAAAGTACATTTTCTCATGCAAGAAGTTGAGAAGACCAAGAAAAGTTTTCATGGGACTAATTTGTTTCTATATTTTGAATATAAAGGTATCCTCTTCTGCAAAATCAGTCAGACTGTATTTTCTATCATTGTGGGGCATTACTCTTGAAGAGATTAAATAGGTCAGCTAAAATTAGGAGAGGGGGTGACATGCAGGATAGGATCTCAACTATTTTTTTTTCCAATTCAGAATGGTTAATTGAATAAATTACAGCAAACAGGAGTAAAATATCCCAAACCAGTAAAGCTCTGGATGCTTCAAAATCATTCTGGCAGGAAGAGATAAATCAAGATAAATAACCCTTGAAGTTTTCACTAGTAATCTGTATGGTATTCTTTTTTTTTTTTTTTTTTAAGATTTTATTTATTTATATGACAGAAATAGAGAGCAAAAGCAGGGTTAGCAGCAGCCAGAGGGACAGGGAGAAGCAGGGACCCTGGGATCATGACCTGAGCTGAAGGCAGATGCTTAAGGACCGAGCCACCCAGGTGTGCCTCTGTAGAGCATTCTATAGACATTCTATAGAAACTCAAGTCTGACTCTTCGTTGTCAATAACCTGTACAAGTATGCCCAATACTTACTACCTTTTTTTAAAAACAAGTTGCTTATAGGAGATATAAATTTAAATTTCTCCTGAGGTCTGCTTAAGATGTCATCTTTGCTAAATTCATGAAGAAGTTTTTTTGTATGTTTTTAATTCCTGGGAAAAGGTATAGGGAGACTTTTCCAGAAAGTAGCAAGAAAATGTTAAATAGTCTCTGGGTCTTTGTCACATACAGTTATATTCAAACTATATTTCTAGTGTGTGTGGTGTATACCCACACACACCAAGTATATATATAAAATCTAATAAAATTTACCACAAACACAAATAAAAAAATTAAGATTGAATGAATTGAACAAGTGATTAAGTATTTTACCCGAAACTTTGTAGTTTAAACATGATCTCGAAAAATAAAAATGAACTCAAAAGCAAATCGAGTGACAGTTAAGTTATACCTAATAGCCCAGTGTCTATGTCCTCTTCAGTCTTTAAATTCTCAGCATGCAACTCTGTAAATACAAAAAAAGAAGGCTTGAGTAAAAAAGATGATTTTACAATTTGAATAGCTTAAAGGCTGGGAAAATATTGTGGACCTGTGGAAACTGCTGTGGAGTCAGAAACAAATGGGTCCAAATTCTGATTCCATATACCAGCTATGAACCTTCAGTATGCAAATAAAGCATTTATGAGTCAACGGCCATATATACACAAAGCTTCTTAGAATTATTGTGAAAATATTTTAAGTTTATTTATTTAATCTCTACCCCCAATGTGGGGCTCAAACTCAAAACCTCAAATCACACATGCTCTTCTGTCAGCCAGGTGCCCCTAAAAATATTTTATGCAATGCAAATTACATAGCATATTAGATTCCTTTCTTCCATTCTCAAAAGTAAGCACAACTCAATGTCTTCTACAAAGGATTCCGCTTACCAAGTTTTGTGACTTAATGATATAAAGGAAATCTCTCACAGCACAAGGGAAATAACTTACAAAACTCTCTCCAAGATACAGTGGAAAAAGAAGGGAGTGAAAGAGTAATGAAACACTGTTAAACAATGTTAAATATGAAACACATATTTAGCATTGACAGTTTACACCCACGATCATTGTATAAAGAGATTCACATTTACTCTAAACTGCCTTGTGTATGAAAATCAAGCCTAAGTTGTTCGCTGCCATCTGCAGCCCAGTAGGAGCTTGGAAGCAATGAGTTAAAAATTAAAACTGGAGTTAAGCTGATTTAATTCTATTTAGTGAAAAAAAAAAAAAAAAAACTAATACTTGGGTGGCAACTTGTTGGGTGCTTCTCACAGAACTAAAGTAGTTTTTGTTTTAATTTTTGTTAGTAACCTGGCCAAAGTCACACACGAACGAGAACTGAGATTTAAACTCGGGTCTGATTCTTTCCACTGTAAAATAAATATCCAGCCATATAGTTTACAGGATAAACCTTGAAAATTTTTTCACAGTACATCTCTTTCTATTCCAATTTGGTTGATACTTAAAACTTCACACTCAAGAAAATAAAACTAAGAATCAGAGAATAGGTTATTTAGGTCCTGTTATAAAACTTCACCACGACACTCTGTTGAAAACCTAATACAAAATCAAGAGGTGCTAATTATTTTACCTGTAAAAGTTGAACTTTTGGCTGTGGGATGGAAATCCGTTCTTTCTGGAATTCTGTGCGTGTACACAATTAGTGAATAGCATACCTCTAACCATTTGTGGATTAAATAAAGTCTTTGAATATGTATAGCCTATTTTAATCACACACTTTTCACCCTCTTTTAATGACTGTTGTCCTCCATAATGCTTAATTTTGTCAACATTTCACCCCAAGTGTTCACTGACTCTACCGTCTCTTCAAGAATACCCATTTAATCAAGACCCTTTCTGAAAACGGGTCTCCTAAGCTCGCACCAGGGTGCTCCACCATTCAGAAAACAAAACAAAACAAAAGGAGATGAGCAAAGAAAGGTGCCAGTGAGGACTCTGGGTGAAAGCCACTCCCAGCTTGCCGGCCTTTGATGGGGAGGAGACAGATGAAAGGCAAGACCCACGTCCAAGATCAACTTTACTCTGGACAGACTTTCAACGCGGGAGCTTCAGTACCTTTTACGATCAGGTAGGCGATGGCGAGGAGGAAGGCGAGGAGGATGGCGAACAGCAGCGAACAAAGAATTGAGAGGACCTGGACCGGCCACCGTCGAGCCTGGGCTCCGTCGTCCGCCACCGCCGAGAAAATGCCATTGCGCTTATCGGGCAGAACTGGAGACCCGTCCCCGTCCCGCCCAAATAGCGAGCCCTTCCTAGGCTCCGACGACGCCCCGGCCGAGAACTCCGCCCGCAGGTCACGGGCCACTTGGTCGCATCCGTCCTCCTCGTCCACTTCACCCTCACCCCAACTATCCCCCTGAGTGAAAGTGGAAAACGCGGGCCGGGAAAACGTGACAGGGGTGTCGAGACGTCGGCGTAGAGCAGCCGAGCGCCGCCCGCCCTCCACGAACGACATGGCGGGAAAGACGAGCGGGCCCGCGGAGGTCGAGAGACTCCCACCCGCCCCGCCCCGCGCTCGCAGCAGCCAATCAGCGGCCAGGCCCCCCCCACAGCCTCCACCACCCGGCACTGGCGCGCAGGGGAGGCGCAGAGGTACGCAACTGGGCGGGGAAGGTGCAGTGGGACCTAAAGAAAGGCTGGGCGCCCCTGGGCCAGAGCACGACCCCAGATCAGTAGGAAGAAAAGGAAGCAGAGAAGTGCGCAGAAAGAGCCAAGCCGAGGCTAAAGGTAGCCAAGTCTCCTCTCCCTGCAGTGCTTCGTCCCGGCCAGAGACCTCCGCCACGGCCGCGTCACCTCTAGGCAAGCGCGCGCCCCAGTAGCACCAAAGCCGCATCTTCTCGACGCCCGGTCCTAGCGCCCGCCCATACCCTCTCGGATTCACATTTCCCAATCGATTTGCTTTCTCCCTTCTTCTGCTATACGCTCCTATTTTTCTCTGGCCCCGCTCTTCCCTGCCTAACTGCCCTTCTCTCTTTTCCTTTTGCATTGTTCTTCCCGCCCCATCACAACTTCCCTCCACCCTGCTCGACACGCCTCCTTCCCGCCCCCTCCTCGGGCTTTCCAGCTGGTGCGTACGGAGCTCGAACCCTCGCCTAAGGAGCCCCTCCTCCTCTCCTGTTCCCCGCCCCCTCTCCTCCTCGAGCACCGCGCGCGCACGCGCGCGCACCCGGCCCCCGCCACCGCTAACGCTAGAAGCTGCTTACCCCACCCCCACCCCACCCCACCCCGGGCAGCCTCAGGTTTGTGGGGCGTACGTAACTCGGGCGGAGGGAGTGAAGGTGGCAGGCCCCAACTGCCCCACCCCCTACGGGGTGAGGTGGTCTAAGCTCGGGAAGCTGGGACACCGCTGTCTTCCCTTCCCCAGGGAAAGTTGGTGGAGTTTTCCCGGCGGAGGCGCAGAAACTTCCTCCGTCCCCCTCCCCCCCCGTCCATGCAGGCGACGCCGAGTGAGGCTGAGGCTGGGGGCGAATCGCCGCAGAGCTGCGTGTCGGCAGCGCATTCTGATTGGACAGTGGGGAAGCCTGTCAGCTTATTGGCCCCGCTGATCCCTCCCCGTAGCGCAGGGCAGCCTTTAACCTTTGGCCCCAGCGGGCGCCAGCCACTCAGATCGCTTCTTGTTGGTATGTGTAGCGGCAGTGGCCGCCGGCGGAGCAGTCTGAGCCCGACGATGAGGCCGGGGACGGGAGCGGAGCGTGGAGGCCTCATGGTGAGTGAAATGGAGAGCCATCCTCCTTCGCGGGGTCCCGGGGACGGGGAGCGGAGATTGTCCGGCTCAAGCCTCTGCTCCAGTTCTTGGGTCTCTGCTGACGGCTTCCTGAGGAGACGGCCCTCGGTAAGGGATCGGTGGAGCAGGGGGAAAGCGGCACAATGAAAAACGAAGTCAGAGAGGCAGGAAGCTTTTTCCAAAAGGAGAAGAAGATGAGAGTGGACGAAGAAAGAGCTCGAGATGGTGGGCTATGTAACGAGGAGGAGAATTGGAGAGTGGGGATGCACAAAGGGAAGAATGTGGGTCCCTGGAAGTTCTTACTGGGCTTGGCCTAGACAGATACGCGGTGGAGGTGCTGGGCCTTGGGCGGGGTGAGCGTTTTGGAGAGGTAGGCCCGCTGTAGCGGGGCGGGGGGAGGCGGAAACTTGATTATGTAGACTTTGAAAGAGGTTGCCAAAATCTGTTTTCACCAGTAGTAGTGGTGGTTGCAAGGGATACAGCTGGGAAGATTGGCAGGGGATAATTAGCTGGTTTTAAGACCTGGAACAATGGGCACAAAGGTAAAGAAATAGTTGTCTTTTAAAAGGGAATTAAAATGGAAATGTTAGTTGTTTGTATTTAGGGTCTTTGAGTGATAGACCTTAGTCTGAATTTTTTTTTTTTTTCCCAGAAGTAATTTTCCTTGTGTTGAAGATTCTTCTAGGAAGTACTGTGTTCATATGTTAGGAGTTAAGTGTCCCTGGGTACCCATAATGTTTGTGTTCTGTTAAGACCAGCTCTTATCTGAAATAATTTGGAAAATCCTCGTTTCAAAGTTTAAAATTAACTTAAAAATAAATTTAATAATAGTTATTGTTAAGATAATAACTAGTTATCTGCTGTGTGAAATAGAACAGAGTTGCGGTTTTTCACCCATAACAGTTTTTAAATTGGTTTTCACATGTTCCTCAGGTTTAGTAAGCTAACTGATGATTAAAGCAGGCTGCTCCGAAAAATAAAATATATACTCTAGCTGTCCAGTAATTATCTTAATTTTTCCCATTTTGGTAAGTTGCAAGCTCATTATGAATATTGGTGGGTAGTGCATTTTGTTTAAGACAAGGAAGTATAAGCTAACCCAGTAACTGAATCACACATTCATCTAATATTAAAGCACTGCACATAACCAAAATGTGGAAATCAGATTTTTGAGAAGCATTTGTTCTTACTTGCTGATTTTTAAATTGTCCCTGTTTTCCAGATGGGGCACCCTGGCATGCATTATGCCCCAATGGGAATGCACCCTATGGGTCAGAGAGCGAATATGCCTCCTGTACCTCATGGAATGATGCCGCAAATGATGCCCCCTATGGGAGGGCCACCAATGGGACAAGTAAGAATGCTTTTGTTTTATTTTGTATTTGTTTGTTGTTTATTTTTGCCTGTGGTATCATTGTATCAAGATTTCAAAACCTGGGTCAATATTTGTAGCTGTTTAAGAATTAGTTTATGTCAAAATAATATTGTTAAAGAAGTCAAATGTTGAGTCATGACACTAATCAAATTGTGAATGTAAGGAAAAGCCTTCTGTATAAAAAATTTATTTTCTGCTACAACAAAACTAAGAGTTCTTTTTTCAAGTAATTGTACATGTAGTCTTTTTAGTGTATGAACATTCTTTTTTCCTAGTATGTTAATTGAAGTTAATGTTTGAAGAGTGTATATTATTTTATAGGTCAACATAATTTATGTCCATGGACCACATAAATGCATAGAATCTAAAAATAGCAATTGTTCAGGTCTTTGCTTTAGAATGAAGTTTATTTCTGAAATAGCTTCTTCTGTGTGTGTGTGTGTGTGTGTGTGTGTGTGCCCGCGCGTGCAGTGGGGGTAGAGTAGGGAGATTCTACTCTTAATTTGATTCTTCATAGGGCAGTGCCAAATAGGTGGTTCACGTTCCACTTAATACTGTTTTGTTTCTGTTTTGTTTTAATGCTTACTGCTTCTGCACTCCTGCTTTTGAGCTGTCCCTTTCATCCCCAGCATAAATTGTAAATGGACATTTTGTGGGAGTGATTTAGATCAAAAGGTTTTAATGCTGACTCAGTGAATTCAGTAGAACTGAGTTCCTAGAGAAGCATCCAAGAAAGGTAACAGGTTCAGTTACCATGAATAATTTTATGCCCCCTGTCAGGTTCTGTAATACACATATTCTTTGGTGGCTGAGTTCTTTCAATTTGAGTATCTCAATAAATCATCAAAAATTTAGGCTGATAAAATATATTGGAAAGCCAGTCAATTAGCTATGGTCTTTTTGCTAATTAATACTGTTTATGTTGGTAATCACTTAAGCCTTGATATTTTAAGTTATTGGTGAAATTGTAGTGGAGAAAGGACTTTGCTTTGTGTCTTTTTCTTTGAACTTAACCTTAGGAGTAGAAGGGCTTAATGTCAAGTGATTTTCTTCCTTTTTATTTATAATGTAGCCCTTAATTTTGTACAAAAATCTTTGTTCAAAGACACCAGGCCCAAAAGATTCTGCCTGTAGGAGTTTTGGGGGTTTTTTGGGGTTTGGTTTTTGTTTTCGTTTTTGAAAGAACCGTTTATTCTGTTGTTCTAGAATAACACAAGTTTTAAAATTTTCTTAGGTGATGGAGAAACAACTCTCATTCTTCTTCTGTTTCTTTCCATCTCTAAGCAGCAAGGAGCTCTTCTGGTTTTCTTAGTAGAGCTGCTCTAACTAGATAATGAGCTTTAAAAAATATTTATTCTTTAAATGCTCTGGTTCTTATTTAAAATTAGTTTCTTTCCACAGAAAGATAAAATAAAACAATTTGCTACTGCCAGATGCTTCTCTCTTTTCTGGGGCCTTCTGTTTCCATTGGGCCAATCAAGGTAAGTTTTGCAAGGGATTGACCTGCTTACCCTTGCTGTAATGGTGCTATTGCACTACCAAACCAAGACACCAGCTAGTCATTTCTAATAAAAATGCAGATTATATTTATTTATTTTTTTTAAAGTACTTTCATGTATCTCATTGACATAAGCTGGTCACAGTTTCCTTTATGGCCCTTTCTCTTTAGCTATATCAGTGACCACCTTCCTAGTAAGGTTACTTGCTGTTTGGTACACATCTGTTGAAATACTCTGAATTTTAACTTGTGGTTTTCCCTTTCTTCTTTTTTCCTAGACCAGTTTATGCCATGTATCTTTAAGTGTACCTGCCTATTTAGATGTTTAAAAGTCTCTCTCTCCCTGTTGGCTCCTATTAGGATAATGAACGAATGACTTAAGAGTCCAGCTTCTAGGGTCCCAAAAAAATCTTCATTGTTTTTCCTTAAAATTCAATTGTTTCTTTTTTTCCTTTTAATATCCAGCTTATATGGGGCCCAAATCTTGGTAAAACTAATTCTTATTTGAGCTTTGGTAACTGACCAGGAGGGCATGGATAATTTAAATATACTCAAGTAATCTAGAAATCTAATTTAAAGCCCAGTAAACAACTTGCTTAAAAATAAAAGTGGACGGTTAGTAAAATTGATCTTCTATCCACTTTGAGGTATTAATGGTCAGAAGTTAATGAAAAACAGCAGCGTGCTTATATAGTTCACTATAGTGACACAAAGTTGGTAGAGTTCTGCCATACAATTTTTAAAAATCAGTTTACAGATTTTTTAGACTTTGGTACCGAAGGTTATGGAACCTTCATGTATATTGCCTAGTTCACATTAATATCTCATTCTGGGACCAGCTGAAAATGAAAATCGGTGCCAGTCTTACTTGCTAAATGATTCTGATCTTTGAAATGTTACTGAATGTGACATGAAATTTTAAAACTTGTTTGTAAAATAATATTCAGACTGGACAGAATAACAACATACAGAAGTCAGAATTTTTCAAATGCATCAAGTTATTTAGGTTAAAAGGGTATTATGGTTTTCTGAAGGAGTTTGGTTGTTTGTTTTTATTCAGAAGATGACCTACTGTGCCCTTTTTAGAATTCAGGCTGAATCTGTTACTACTAAAAAGTAGATTTCAAGTTTATCTCAGGTATCTATTGTATAGATTAAATTTGCCTCTTCTGTTCATATGGGAAAACTGTCCTACTTTTACAGGATTATAGAGTCTTATACTTGAGAGGGACCTTAAAAGGTGAATAAACTTTAAATGATATGGAAATTAAATAATGGTTTATCACTGGTTAAAAACCGTTATTAATAAAGTAATTTCCTTGCTTGGTGGCAATACTCAAATATTTGCAGTAGAGATTTGCCTTAAGATGTGATTGTATGTGAGGCCATTTTTTACTTAGTCAGCAATGTTTTGCCTTTTTTTTTTTTTTTTTTTTTTTTAAGATTTTATTTATTCATTTGACAGAGAAGGATCACAAGTAGGTGGAGAGGCAGGTAGAGAAGGAAGCAGGCTCCCTGCCGAGCAGAGAGCCAGAT